TGACCAATAGTCTAAATGTATATTGGGGTCTAGCCACAGAACGAAAGCTAAAACTCCTCATATCTCGCAAAAGTGCTCTTCTCATAATCCACCGCAAATCTCAATTAAGTGTACCCAAAACGCGAAACCCATATATAAGACATAGTATATATTGTAAGCCATCGTACATATTAGAGTCTGTAGAGGTTACTCAGCTTCATCCATGCATATTGGAAGTTTCCAGGCGCTTCCAGGCCGTTCCAGGGGGCTCCAGGGCCTCCAGGGGCCTCCATGGGGCTCCAGGGGCCCCTAGGGGCCCTGAACGCCCTGAGGCTGGATGCCTCGGCGAACATTACACTTTAAATATTTTAGGTATAGTTTAGAAACAAAATTGTTCATGATTTATTGCCATATATATAAGGCACTTACAAATGTTAAAGAACTTAGGCCAAGTGGGTACTCGCATGCGTCCTGATATCTTCGATGACGGCACACTATGCGAGCAACCCTTTAGAAAGCTGAAAGCATTCACGGACGTAGGCAACATCGAGTCTATGTCAAAGGAACGATGGGGCGCCGCAAAATGGGTGAGAGGACAGGCCAGAATTTACTGCTCCAATGACTTTGAGGTCTCCAAGGAACCTGAATGCACGCAGCCCATCATGGATGCACAGAGAGGACTCCATTCCTACATCTCCCACAAGGACTTTGCCACTATGCTGGAGCCTGCGTGGTGCACCAAGGACCTGTCCAACTCAAATGTCATGGCTATCTTGAAAAGAACGCATATTATCGTGAACACGTCCACTGCACTGTGCATTCGTCCTGCTAGTGGGAAAGAGCTTCCAGTGATGAGGGTTCTTTTTGGCTCCAAGAATGACTGCCTTCATGAGAACTCCCGCACCGTCTACGACTATCACAGGAAGGGTGGAGTGGATTTGCCAAAGGACTTTGAGTTGAAAAAACAATGAAGGGTGATGAGTCTTTGCCGGTTAGGGCTACCATCATCCATCGTGGGAGTCCCTTCAGCAATGCGCCATCCCCATCTACATCACTTACTCCAAATGTGGAAGAAGCTAGACGTCACATTGAACAACAGCTTCGCAAGAACTTGAGCACTGAGAATGTGGAGGTTGAACCTACAATGGCGTCTGCTGCTGATGTTCCCCAGCCCGCAAGCTCAGTAGAGCCTACATCCTCTACAAGCAAAGTCAAACTGGAGCCCTCATCATCCTGGAACTTCGGTGGGAAGCACAAGCGTGATGTCTCATCCCACGGGTCGGCTACTAAAATCATTGATATCTCGGATTCTCCTCAAGCACCTCGTCCGTCCGTCGTGAAGGAAGAGATCCCCCCATGTCTTGGAATACTTGTTCGTTGGCAGTTTGACCATTGATCCGTGTGATTCTGCTGAAAAAGTGACCTCACACTCTGCACCCCCTGCTGCGGAAGGAAGCGGCGATGAAAACCCAGACAGGGATGAGTTCACTAAGGAACTAGAGGCTTGCATGGAAGAGGAGATGGGGATGAATTCAAGCGACATGGACATGGATGCCGAGGAGGCTGAGGATCATATGGATGTGGATGAGTGAGACTTAGGCACCCAGCTAGCTCTACCAGTTTTGAGGACTATCTTGCAAACTGCTCCCTACACAGTGATACAGTACACAAATTTAATGTAACTAGATACCATACTATTACATGTTATTCTATTGCTTACACAAAACATGTGTTATAAAGCAAATACCAATGGAGCACTGGACGAGATGTGCGCACGCGATGTGATATGATTAATATATTTACTATAGTATATAGTAAGTATATATTAGAATTAAGTCTGTTTTCCTATACAATACTGCGTGATGGCACATGTTTTGAGTCTCACACGAAAAGTCCCGCACACAGTCCGGAGCTTGTCAAGGAAAACCAGCTTGAGTATGTATAACTGCATGCAAAACACGAAACATGGAAGCCAAACTTGATTATGTTTACTTTCATATAGGTGCTCAAGTACATTTTGTATGAGAGTACTGTAGCTGTGATGCCGAAAAGGAAGTATCCCAAAAGTAGCAAAGGCAAGTCGCCTAAACCATAGCCATCGCCCAAAAGAGGTAAACTTCGAGCTGCCTTGAAGAAACCCGCCAGCAGTTCGAAGAAGAAGTACTTGCCTGTACCCTATGTTCGACATGGTGAGAAGACCTCGAAACATCGAGCACATCGTGAAAGGTGGGGACTCCCCATCCACAAGCTCATGTCCATGTCCTACAAGAACTTTGTATTACTTCTACAACGTGATGGAATTGTTCCAAATTGGTACAAGCGAGTCTGTCCACGTTGCGGGGAAGGACAAGTAGGCAAACTGCAGTGGATCAAGTCTAAGAAGGCATGGTTGTATCGATGCAGAACTAAAGCTTGCCAACGGTTCCTCTGCCCTCACGACTTCCACCCTATCTTCTTCCAAGGTGCAGGGAATTCGGTGACATCGCTTAATCTCCAGGCATCGGCACTCTTTGCTGCAGTAGCGGGGGTTCCACTGAACGCAGCACATCTAGTCTTGGACGCCGATCACAAGCCCATCGAGCCCATCTTCGGCAACCTTGATGCTGCTCAGGCCAGGTATGTGGATATGGAATAGAAAAATATTACCTATGGCACGACTAAGGGGGAGACCTGGATGGACGTAGAGGCCGATGAAGTCGATATCGGCAAGGCCTTAGCAGAGGATGCGGGTGGAGAGACTAACAGTCTGATGTGGGAACAGTGGTGCCGTATAGTCGAAAGAGGGAGACTTAGCTCACTCAAATTGATTCGCCTGAACCCTCGACATACTCGTCTTCGGGCCCCAGGTCCTGGGCCAATTCGCAGAAGGAATGGAAAGCGATTAGTGATCCACTTCTCCGGCATCGGCATGTGGTGCTGCACACGGATGGGGCGAGGGCATACAAATTGACTATTCCGGGAGTACATCACTGTCACGTAGTGCACAAGAAGAAGCGGATGATTGTCAACAAGAAGGTTACTTAGCTTTTTAAGGGTACCATTCGTATAAGAGTATTTTACCAATCAATGTATAGACATACGTATTGTTATTCCATTATTTTCTGATAATGTGATATATTAGATATTATTATGTATGCTGAGGTGGTAGGGGCCAAGCCGCACTACAACAAAGTCATGAACCTCACTCTGCCCAACAAGACTAAGCTGAAAGTGAAGTCAGGGACCCAAATTATTGACAGGTTTTGGGGACGCCTCAGGAACTATGTGAAGTACACCAACAGAACGCCAGGCAACACGGTACTGACAAGGAAAGTGAGGGCAGCACAATTCACATACTGGTTTAAGGGAAAGAATGCCTGGAAGAGCGCAGGCACAATGCTAGCAAAACTTTTAAAGGATTGATGTATGTGTAGCATACTAGAAGTATCACTATTCCACGCGGTGAGTTTTGTGTATTGCGTAGACAGGACGTCTCGGATGCGCTGCGGACTCTAAAACGAACTGCGATTGCGCGAAGGTATGTGCCATCATACTCCGCAAACATTAGCGTGAGCCATGCGCATTGATACCTTGCTTCTTGCTGCATGTGCTTGCTGCCTGCAAGATTCTCAAAACTCACTGATTTGAATTGTTAGCCTTGCCTTAACTTGGGTATTTCTTGGGGGGGGGTGACCATATATATATATATACGAGTCTACCCTGGAGCCTTCTCGAGGCCTGCGCAGAGAAACAAACACTGGGGCCCCCCCTAGTTCTGGCAACGCCATATGACCTGTATAAGGTCCTTATCGGGGGGCTGGTGTTACGAATGCCTTCCTTAGATAATTTTGCACAAGTCTCGCAAAAAACCATTTCTCGTGAGAGGCGCCGAATCCAGGAAACTTCTTCAGCAACTTCATGGGTGGACAAGGGCCAGGTGGCTTTGACCAGGCTTTTGACCAGGTCTTTGCGAACGTGGACAGGCTTCCTACCCAAACTTAGACCCTAGATTCTAACCAACCTTAAGCCCTAGATTCTAAACTTAAACCCTAGACATGATATAGATTCTAGACCTAAACCCCAAGCCCCAAAACCCCAAAGCCTTAAACCCTAAACCCATATCCAGCAAGGTTTGCGCAGGCTGCTGGCCAGGCTGGACAGGCTGCGAGCCGCTTCATGCAGGCGGATGCAGAGGAGAGACGTGTTTTAGGATTTAGGGTTTAGGGATTTAGGGTTTAGGGATTTAGGGTTTAGGGTTTAAAGCCTAGGAATTAGGGCTTAGGGTTTAGGGGACCTTCTCCCGAACCACAATGGAGAATCACATGGAGAAGAACATGGACCATGAAATGAAAACTTGGTTTGGGAGTATATAGGGATATCCTTTTATCAAAGGCTTTAAGTTTGTACCAGGTTTGCACCCTTGGGTTTTGGGTCAGACATCGCATAATTAAGGGCTATCTTCCAGGGCGAAGTGATCCAAACCCAAGGGTACAAACCGCAGGTGTATTGAAGGACGACCCCCGAAGGGTAAGAGTTGACACTATGGGCCCCTAACCCTGGGATCTTTGCAAACCTACTATATGCGCTATACGTACCCTCAAAGGCCCTTAGAATCCCCCCTTAAAAGGCTGAAGGATCCATATTATCGGCCCATACTTCTAGCCTTAAACCTTAACCGCAAACCCTAAACCCTAAACCTTACATTAGAGGGCCCATACCTAGAATCCCATTAGAAGGCTGAAGGGCCAATATTAGGGGCCCATACTTTTTACCTTCCACCCTAAGCCTTAAACCCTAAACTCTCTAAAGGGGGTTATATCGGGCATTCTATAGGGGACTATTCTAGGGGTTATTAAGTGGGATACTAAGAGTTTAGATTAACCCTGACCCCTCAACCCATACTTCTAACCTTAGATAACCTTAAACCCTAATCCCTAAACCCTAATCCTTGCAGTCACGTTGCGCCTGTTACTCCGTAGGTCGGTTGACACGAAAGCGGTTCAGACTGATCAGTGAAGTTTTTGTTTGGTCATGAGACACCCTTTGCATTCGTGCAGACATTAAAAGTCCCAAGGGTTAAAAAACAAACTAATCCCTAAACCCTAACCCTGAGCCCTCAGAGGAGAGACGAAGGCAGGCCACACAGGCTGCTCAGGCAGCGCAGCAGGCGCAGACTTACTGGGATTTAGGGTTTAGGGGTTTAGGGGTTTAGGGTAGGGTTTAGGACTTAGGAATTAGGATGTAGGGTTTAGGGTTTGCGATTGCTGGGATATCTCCAGAGATGGGGATATTCTGGGATGTTGGTGGATCATGGGGATGTGTAAGAAGAACTTTAGGTTTGACTTTAGGCAGAGGTGTTTCAATTCTGTCCGCCCTCAGGCATTCCAAAATGGGAACTTTGCCGCGCAGCGTGGTGCTCCACCCCCCGGCCACACTCCACCGCCACCCACTCCAGGTGCACCACGTGGTGGTGCAGACCAGCCCGAGTGCGTAGTGATGTGAGCAAAAAAGTCTGCGAATTGGTTTAGATGTGAAAGGCCTATTGACCAGATCAGTGACAGACCAAAGGTACCGTAGTTAATTAATTAGGAGCCATGGAGTGCAGGAGGGGAGGGTTTCGGAGGTGCGTAAGGGCGAAAACTTGCTAGAAGCTACTGATCAAATTCACACACCAGGTTTTGAACTCAGATTGTTGCGTTAGTGAACTCGAGAGCCTGCCGGCATACAAGGAGCAGTCTTGCGCAATCAAGCGTAGTCTCGTGGGACTTTCCGGTCATAGTGGGTCTCAACGGATTTCTGATCACAGGGTGGAGCCTAGATTCAATGAAATCTTGTGGCGACCCCGAAATAAGATCCTATGACAGGCATGTCCCAAACCAGTTGCACCTAGCAATCAAAGACCCGACAGAGAACCCACGAGTGCTGACAAACGCCTTCTACAGATGCATTCAGCCCACAGGCCCCTGACTTCATATGCAGGTGCTTAAGGGAGAGTGAGGAAGTGGATTCCCACTGTACCTAGACCCTCCTCCTACCCTCTATTAGGGCCTGAGTACCCACTATTGGGGACCATATATCCCCAATTAAGGGTACAAGGGTGGTCCTGGTAGTCTTTACGTCATCCGTTATAACAATCTTCCTTTTCACTCCCAACTTCCACTGAAGCACCCAAGCCCTGAACCCTAGACCCCTAAACCCCTAAAGCCCTGAACCCCTAAACCCTAAACCCTAAACCCCAAACCCTGAACCCCAATCCCTAAACCCCAACCCCCGAAATTTCCGAACTGTTTCCTCCAAGGTCTCGAGCCCGAAGGAACCCTTGAACCCTAATCCCTAAACCCTAAACTCTCAACCCTAAACCCGAAACTCTAGACCCTAAACCCTAAGCCCTCAACACGAAATTTCCTCCGAGGTCTTGAGCTTGCTAGAGGAGCAAGAGAACCAGTTGCGCTGCGCCGCGCTGCAGCGACTGAATGAGGTTCAGGGATGGGGTTTAGGGTTTAGGTTGTTTAGGCTTTAGGGTTTAGGGTTCACAGGGATGGAGTCAAGGCTTTAAGGTCCCCCAACAGGATTTAGGAATCTGTACTTAGGGTTTTTTGGGATGTGACGGATAGGGTTTTAGGGTTTAGGATTGAGGGTTTAGGGTTTAGGGTTTGGGGTGGAGGGCAAGAGACCTTAGGGTTCACGGTGTACGGGGGGTATACAGAGGTTTAGATATAGGATATATAGGGTATATAGGTTCAATCACAGAGAACTTAGACCCTTTTAATGGGCTACAGGAATATGCATAGGGATATATACGGTTCAGGGTTTCGGGTTTAGAGTCTAGGCCCAGGGGACTTTGTAAGTAGCTTTCCAAGGGGGGTTATAAGCATACCAACCCCAACTAGGGGGACTTACAGCCCCATGTGAAACCGATTTACTAAGTTTGCTGGGGAATAATGTTTGTTGAGATTGGGAGAAAACATGCTAAGGGTTGCCAATGCTCGGTTTAGGGTGTCGGGTTTAGGGTTTACTGTAAGGGCTATGTGAGTGCCTGACTAGGTTGGGATTTCGCCACACCTCATAAGCCCGTATACTCGCAAGAAGATTGCAAGCTGTAAGACATGCAAGATTCGGAACTGTCACTCTCTTCATCGGTCTAGGAACTACTTTCTGAGTTTCGCAGTGAGTAGGCCTCTACACAAGCCCGGATGGAGTTTGGTAGCCTAGCTTTGAATTGATTCCCTCCCCTTTTTGCCAGTTTTTCGTAAAACACCCTGAGGGGCGTCAAGCTTCTGGTTGATTTGGAGCTTTACTGTGGGCTTTGCGTCCCTCACATTCCAAGGGTGTTGAAGATCTCCGTCTTGATTATACCTTAGGAGGACCCCCCCACCCTGTAATAGTTATAGATTAGGATTATAAGAGGACCCTGGTATAATCCGTACTATCCCATATAGTCACTATTACAGGGAGGGTGTCCACCTGAATTATACAGTCGGCCGAGAAACAGTTGATAGCAACCTGTGCTTGTGCTCGGAGGTGGTTGATCAATTCTGGCACGAGATTGCCGACTACTTGAATGACATTGAGACGCTCTATGAGGACCTCAACAGAAGCGAAATGTTAACCTCAATATTACAATATAGCCCCAACATATACCCCATTATACTACATAGTAATTTCCATTATTGGTTTTGCACTGGGTTGCGCGCGCCGGATTTGAGTTGGAGGTTGGGCCCTTATGGATTTGGCGGGGTATGAGGTGTCTGAGGATGAAACTCTGGGGTTATAAGGCTCTGGACTTGAAATCGTGAGCAGAAGCATCCCTATGCCTCATGGAGCGAAGCATCCGATATGCAGAAATGTGTTTCACAGTCTCAGCCTGAACAAAGACAAGTGCTTAATCTGGGTTGCTGTTAAG